ATTGTATTAATAAAACATATCGAAATATTTTGTGTAGATTGTTGACAAAAAAAAAGACAATTAATCAATGTTAATCCCACTTTGTAACACAATAATATGTGAAGGTGTCCAAGGGCTCTGAATACCTTTTGCAAGGCACTGTATCTTCCAAGTGATTAACTTACACCGAGATAAGATCACATGGTTGTTTCAAAGGTAATCCATCTCTTCATCAGAGTGTCCATCTTGCTAATACCTTGACAATTACGGTACTCTCTTCAGATTTGGGTTCACATAGTATTTGATTTTTTTCCAATAATTTAGCTGTGCTTGGGTTGAGCTGGCCTGGCACCTGATTATATCAAGCCAGGTCTGATAGTGTTCAGTGACGTCTATGCCTCCTATCTGAAGGCTGTGTGTGTGTGTGTGGTGTGTGTGTGTGTGTGTGTGTGTGTGTGTGTGTGTGTGTGGTGTGTGTGTTGGCGTGGTGTTGGTGTGTGTGCGTGTGTGTGTGTGTGCGTGGGTGTGTGTGTGCGTGGTGTGTGTGTGCGTGGTGTGTGTGTGTGTGTTGTGTGTGCGTGGTGTGTGTGTGTGCATGGGTGTGTGTGTGTTGGTGTTGTGTGGTGTGTGCGTGTGTGTGTGGGTGTGTGTGTGTGTGTTGGTGGTGTGTGTGTGTTGGTGTGTTGTGTGTGCGTGCGTTGTGTGCGTGTGTGTGTGCGTGTGTGGGTGGTGTGTGTGTGTGTGCGTGTGTGTGCGTTGGTGTGTGTGTGTGTTGCGTGTGTGTGCGTGGGTGTGTGTGTGTGTGCGTGCGTGCGTGTGTGTGTGTTTGTGTGTGTGCGTGGGTGCGTGGGTGTGTGTGTGCATGGGTGTGTGTGTGTGTTGGTGTGAGTGCGTGTGTGTGTGGGTGTGTGTGTGCGTGGGTGTGTGTGTGTGTGTGTGTGTTGTGTGTGTGTGTGGTTTCTCCAGGGGACATCATCAGGTACCAGTGCCTGCCAGGGTTCACCCTGGTGGGCTCGAGATCCTGACGTGCAGGCTGGGGGACAGGCTCCAGATGGACGGCCCTCCGCCTCTTTGCCAAGGTTAGTATCGGCTGCATCTGCAATGGCACCCTATTCCCTATGTAGTGCACTGCTTTAGACCAGAGAATGGCACCCTATTCCCTATGTAGTGCACTACTTTAGACCAGGGGTCATAGATGGACCAGGTAATTTAGTGTTGGCAGATCTAGATGACTTCTAAACCGAAGGCATCACCCAGAATTCAAACATTCCTCTTATAACCGTTTGGCTCTGCTGAAGAGTAGTGCACTATATAGTGAACAGGGTGCCATTGTGATTCCGTCCATCTCCTGGGCTGTAGCACAGAGAGTTGACATAATGGGAAACATAGAGTCAGCTGCCACGGCTGTAGCGTTGCTTTGCCTCTTACTTCACCTCATTCTTCTGTTTGTTGATATCTGCTGGACACATTTCTATATACAGTTGGAAATGTTGAGCTCTCTGCTGACACAATCTATCTCTGTTCAAGCTGTTTTAACGTGTCGTATTTCCACTTTCTGTTCTTCAAATGTTCTGCTGTCCTTTTTTGCCTGAATATTTCACATTTGTTGGCAACGTTAACCTTTTTATTGTGTCGTAGTACCTTCTCTCTAAAAAGGCCTGAAGAAAGTTAGCTGCTGTCAGAATAACAATATGTTAGAAAGTTTAGTAATTATCTCAGACATGCCACCCTCCAGTGCAGAGAAATGTGCTGATATATAAGCATCTCTCTTCCATTGGGGATTATTATTATGCTACCAAGGGACAAAGCTAACACAGTGAACCAGTACTCTGTACCCTGAGGCCCTGTACCTGTCTCAGACTAAATGGAATTGTTTCATTGCACATTATTATTTCACTGTAATTTCCACAGTCACAGTCACAGCCACAGCCACAGTCAGTTACAGCCACAGTCACAGCCACAGTCACAGTAACAGCCACATCACAGCCACAGTCACAGCCAGTCACAGCCACGGTCACAGCCACAGCCACAGCCACAGCCACAGCCACAGTCAGTCACAGTCAAAGCCACGGTCAAAGTCCAGTCACAGCCCACAGCCAGTCATAGCCACAGTCACAGCCACAGCCACAGCCACAGTCACAGTCACAGTCACAGTCAGTCACAGCCACGGTCACAGCCACAGTCACAGCCACAGTCTCAGCCACAGCCATGGCACGGCCACAATCACAGCCACAGTCACAGTCACAGTCACAGCCAAATTCAGTCACAGCCACGGTCCCACAGCCACAGCCACAGTCACAGCCACAGTCACAGTCCAGAGCCACAGTCACAGTTAGTCACAGCCACAGCCACAGTATGTCACAGCCAAACCACAGTCCACAGCCACAGTCACAGCCACAGTTCACAGCCACAGTCACAGCCACAGCCACAGTCAGTCACAGCCACAGTCAAGCCACAGCCCAGTCACAGCCACAGTCGGTCACAGCCACAGTTACAGCCACAGCCACAGTCACAGCCACGGTCCAAGTCACAGTCCAACAGCCACAGCCAGTCACAGCCACAGCCACAAGTCACAGCCCAACCACAGTCACAGACACAGTCACAGCCATAGTCACAGCCACAGTCCAGTCACAGCCACGGTCACAGCCACAGTCACAGCCACAGTCACAGCCACAGCCACAGTCACAGTCTCAGCTACAGCCATGGCACGGCCACAATCACAGTCACAGCCACAGTCACAGTCACAGCCAGATCAGTCACAGCCACGGTCACAGCCACAGTCACAGCCACAGTCACAGTCCAGTCACAGCCACAACCACAGTCACAGCCAGAGTCAGTCACAGTCACAACCACGGTCACAACCACAGTCACGGCCACATCCACATTCACAGTCACAGTCAGTGGAACGACTCCTTTCTTTAACTCTTCCGCCCTTGTCTTCCCTCCACTTCCTGTTTTACCTCTGTCCTCTCTGTCCTTTCCTCCTCGAAAACATATTCCCTCTTCATCCTTCTTCATCCTCTTCATCCTCTTCATCCTCATCTTTCCCTCCTTTCCTCTCTTTCGCCTTCTGTTCGCTCCTTTTATTCCATCTACTTTCCACCCTCCACACTCCACAGTACATGTCCTGCCAACAAGAGGTCCGTTTCGACTCCACGGGGGTATCCTGTTCCAGCACCCAGACAGCTACCCCAACCCGCCAGACGTTTTACCTGGCTCATCAACGTATAGAAGGGCTACAACATCACCCTCCACTTCAACTCTTCCAACGAGAAGGAGTTTGACATCCTGGAGATTTTGACGTTGGGACATTTTATCAACATTCCTAGTTACCTGCAATTAATCCTATCTCTTCACTCTCTCATCGCAGATAATTGCAAATGACCACAGACTTAAACTGTCACTATAGGCTTTGGATAATGAATCCCTAAGTTATTAATTATACGTCTCTAGCTCAGACTTACTCCAAACACCCTTTCAAGCACCCTTCCAAGCACCCTTTCAAGCACCCTTCCAAGCACCCTTCCAAGCCCCCTTTCAAGCACCCGTCCAAGCCCCTTGTACTAATCCTAAATGCCAGATTACTTTACCTAAGTAAACTATCACTTAAAACCCAAATGTTCGTTCCCTCTAATTCTTTGGGGGCACTGAGCAAATTTTGGGGCTTGTGAGTGGAAACTTGAACGTTGTGAGAATTTTGTGCAACTTCCGGCGCACGTTTACAGTGAACACTGAGGCTGTACCCTGACAGTTTTAGACAGTAGCCCATATGGCTGTTGTGGCTATCTGAGCATAATGTAGGCCTACAAACAAAACCAATATAGCAAATTCCACAACATTTACACATGGAAATAGCTTTTGATTTCTATGATATAGCCTACAGTAGCCTCTATGTGGTGTTCAATGCGGGCCTACATTGCAGTGACTTTTAATACCATTTTTACATTATGAAGGGCTTGACATTAATTAATGATTGTTTACTTGGTCTGTAACACAATGGACCAAATAGGTGACTGTAAATTTGGGCATTGAATTGTGTTGTATGATGGACGAAACCACTTTACAAACAAAAGTAATTATTATTACCATACAGAGAATAGATAATGTAGGCTACCCCTCTGCCTATTGGGTTATTTGCAGATTCAGCCTGTCTCAAAATACAACACTGCCCCCTTTAATTAAGATATAAGCTATTTACCATGACTGGCTTTTAAAAGACTGCTTGAATGTAGCCTAAACGTTTTGGGCTCTTTTAGGAAGCAGTAACTCCCCATTGCTGACCTATACTTATCTATAACTGGGCTAATAACTCGGTAACTAGCGAAGAAAATCAACAATGACCACACGCGCAGCTCTGCGCTCTGATCAGAACTGATCCGAAACACGTCTTCACTCGCCGGTGATTGAAAAGACCGATTGTGGGCCGTCCCCCGCCAGTAGAATTATACTCCTTTGTAGGACAGACTCCGCCTACAATAAAAACACAGACTCAATCTAACAAAGTTAGATTTGGTTTGTTGCATTGAAAGGGGTTTGATATAATTTGATTCAATCAGAAAAAAAACGTTGATCTATATAGTGGAAACTAATGGGGCAACCTGTGAAGTTCACCCTCTTGCTCCTGTGGGGCCCTGCTTTGTTCGGGCGCACCCTGGAAGGGGTGCAAAAACCCCGGCAAGCGCAGTTTAGAGGGACATTATTTCAAAGGTTGTAAAATTGGTCAACCCTACTTTATTGAGTTTTGTCATGAAATCTGCT